CAGTGTTGCGAGAGAAGGCGAAAACGCTGGTGCGGCCGTTGATGAGGTTTGTGGGGCGAAAAATGGCGAAGAATGGTCAGGGGAAAAAGGTTCCCGTGCAGCAACCTTCCCAAATCGCCCGGTCATCATCATCGCTTCATCATCGTTATCACCATCGTTATCACCATCTCCATCACCATCGAGTATCATCATCGCCTTCATCATTTTCTGAACCATCGCTATCATCATCGTCATCAATGTGTTGAGCAGTGGGCTGTACGTGTTCTCGGAAAAACAGACTTGAGATTACTCTGTGAAGCTGGGCAGCGAAGCCAATGCAACGAGACAAGGCGCAAACGCATGTGGGCAAGTTTGCTGGGGCTTGCGAGGCGAAAAAAGGTCAGGGGAAAAAGCTCCCCGCTGAGCAACATGTTCCACATCGCCCGTCATCAGCATTGCTACCATCAGTCTTATCATCATCGTCATCCTCATCGTTATCTTCATCGCCATCGCCGATACCATCATCGCCTTCATCATTATCTTCATCATCGTGATCATCCTCGCCATCAACATATTGAGCGGTGTTTTTTAGGGGGTGGGACCTTGATTAAGGGGTACTGGGCTCTTTGGGTACTAGGTCCGAGCAGATGCAGGCACGATCCTGTTTCTGCAAAAAGGCGCCGGGTGGAAGAGTGGAGCCGCAAAGGCCCCAATATTGGGGCTGCAACAGCGCTACCGAAACCGAAACAGTAAACTCAACTTTGCATCCCAATGCGTTTCCTCTCTGGCCCCTTCCTCTGTCTCGCCCGATCATTGTCGACTGGGAGTTATCAAGGTCGAGTAGACTGTAGACTGAATCCTCTTTGGGCAACATTTCTTTCTCAACATTGACAGGACCTCCTGCCGTACTCATATTCAATGATTTTGACCCCTTTACCCTAAACCCTAATAGGCCCTAATCATATTCAGTGATGAAGACCTGCTGTCAGGTTGGCCCTCATGTCCGTGCTTGGGCTGCGTTGAATCCCACAGCTTTTGGATCAGATGGCTCTGGGTACTTTCAGGGCCTTAATAATTACCTATACTATTTTGGGGAGTCCTTGTTTGGGTTATAGTATAGTGAACCCCAAAACCCTAGTTTAATTAGAAGGCCCCTTATTAATACTATACGATACCATACCATACTATACTATGCTAGACAAGGCTGGCCCAAAGCCTATTACACAGTACATACTGTACTCTACTCAGTGCAAGAGCTAGCAGGGTTTAGGGTTTAGGGTTTAGGGTTCAGGACTTAGGGTTTCGGGGAACTGCCCAGATCATGCACAAAGAAGCACAACCCCAAATACGCGCAGCGCTGTGACGGGAGCACGACAAAACGCGGTTACCTGTCTGTTGATCTGGTTGCCCATCCATGTTCGATTTCTGTTTTGCCACTTGTGTTGAGTAGTAGGCTTTAAGGCCTAAGCCCGCACTAAACCTCACAGGGCCGGAGCCCCCAGAACCCAGAACTCATATCAAGCCCTAGGAAGCCAATATTATAGTGCATTACATCAAGCCCTAAATTAATCCTACACCCTACACCGTATTACAGTATATCTTAGGAAGCCGGTGCGAGTTGTTCTTCGCACTCCTCCGTGCCCACTGAGGATGACGAGGAGAAGCTGTCGTCTGAGGACGGCTGCGATATTAGGGGTTAATGGGTTTAGGGCCTTTAGGGGTTTAGTTAGGTAGAGTTTGAGGTTTACGATTTGGGGTTTCAGGATGTTATAGGCTTCAATTCCAGTAGAGCGTATCCTCTCTGATTCTTCCTCCTCCTGCTTGTGCTACACTCTGCAACTTCTTTTCTCAGTAGTCGCCAAGTGGCTCTGTGTAGTGTTCTACTGCTGCTGCATGCTAAAAGGTGCATGTCATGCATGCAAAGACTTCAAGAGACCAGAGCTGGTGTGTAGATGAAGACGAGGGTTGGGCGTTCAGGGTCAGCCCCCCGGCATCCGAACAGCGGATACTAACCGCGTTCGTGCAAAGACAGGGTATTGTTGGTTAGGGCTGTTGGATTTTATGTCAAACCCCGTAGGGTGTGCGCATCACCTCGATACTACGCCGCATGGTAGCTGAATTCATTCTACTTCCCATCAAGGTGAACTGAAGCAACCTTCTCTCTCGCTCTCTCCCTCTCTCCTCTCTCTCTCTCTCTCTCTCTTTCTCGCGCTCCCTCTCTCTCTCTCTCTCTCTTTCTCTCTCTCTCTCTCTCTCTCTCTCTCTCTCTGTGGCTGAACTGTGCCTAGTTTTGCACCGGGCGTTGTTCGACATGTGAAATGTCCGTCTAAAAAGGCTGGGTCCTTGTTGTTGGGGCCACTTGGGAACTGGGTTCTCCTTCAGCACTTGATCAGCAGCCTTGGGGCCGTCAGCGTCTGTCGAATGAAGGGGGTCCCATACCTCAGAGAACATCTCGGCATCGTCTTGTGCAGCACCCTTCTGCTTGAGTGTCATGGCGTGCCCGGACTTCCCGGCTTCATTTGGGCCATGACATTTGGGCACTGGGGCCTCGAGGT